AGCCCACCCGTTTGAACTAATAAAGTGCCAGGGGCCTAAGTGGTCACCTAAATATTAAAAAAAATAAAAAATAAAAAAAATAAAAAAATAAAAAAATAACCTTATGGTATATAATACTATAAAGTCATTTTCAAGGCAAAGACTTCATATACAAATCAGATAATATTAATATGTATAAAGCTAACCTTTTAATAAATAGTCTTTAATATTTGGAAACACTTTTACTAAAATGCATCTATGGTGTTTTTATACCATAGGTCCTATTTCTCAAAAACATACTAAGTAAATTGGATCGGGTCCTCTAAATAAAAATGTTCAGAACCCCCAAAAACCTTATGAGAACTGAGATCACGCCCTATTGGGCTCTTATATTAGCTCTATAATATATTATATAAAAAAAAATAATTCTTAATTTCCTAACTCTTAACTCTAAATTTTATTAAAAGAAATTATATATAGGTGCTAAAACATCATAGGCGCGTTTTATAATAATTGTTTGGAAATATTGTATCATACCATTGTTGGTTTGTGTAACAAAAAACCAATTTACTAAAAGTTTGTAGTGCTAGCTGTGTTTTTTTTTTAATCATAATGTTTCTACATTGAAAAAAAAGATGCTTTGACAATACTAATGTAGCTAGAATCACAAGATATTTGTAAGCAAGACTTGCTATTTTAGGAAGCACATTTTATAAACTGTCTACCAATATAAAAGATCATCCAAAGATCCAATTGTTTTTATCATAAAATATCGATTAATCTCATTCTTACGTATCGTATTTTGTTGAGCTATTGTAAAAACTGTTGATATAAATAATCCCACGAGATTTTGTATTGCTTTATTATACTCTAATTTAAGATAATCTTGGCAATTAAGTATAGCACTCTTAAACTCAAAGTTTTTATATCTTGGATCAATTGCCATTGTGATAAATAATATTTTATTATCTAAAAACTAATAACAATTTTTTTTTAGTTTAAATAATTAATTGGTAATCTACCAGTTAATCAGAGAATAATCATAGTAAAATATGACTCAAATTACTTATAAAAATTGGAGATCTTCAAATGTGATGTGCATGTATCTAAAGCTTTTTTTATACTAAATTAATCATTTTTCTAACTTAAAAGACTTGTAGAGCTTGTCAAGATATATCTAATAGTGGTTAGAGTATTAAAATTGGATTGGTGGGTGCCGAAATATCTTTAAAAAATATTTCCTTTACTATATAAACTTCTTTGCAAACAATACTATTGTTTACAAAGAAGTTTATATAGTAAAAGAAATGTTTTTTAAAAATATTTCAGCACCCACCAAGCCAATTTTGATACTCTAACTACTATTAGATGCATTTTGGCAAGCTCTACAAAAGTCTCTTAAGTTAGAAAAGTGATTAATTTAGTATAAAAAAAGCTTTAAATGCATGCATATCACATTTAAAGATCTTCAATTTTTATAAATAATTTGAGTTACATTTTACTATAATCATTCTCTGGTTGACTAGTGGATCACCAATTAAATAATTAGGGTTTTATCTTATTTTACCAATAACCATTTTACCAATAGCTCATTTAGACAACATCATACTAGGTAATATTTAGTAAAAATATATACCTGCCACTATTTGAATGCTTAATTCTGACCTTTATATAATGTCATCTAAATAAACTTTCAAGAGCTAAATAATTAGATAAACTAATAAATATATTAAAGCTTACTTTGTAATACTTTTTAAAGAGTTTAGACATTACAATTTTAATACGTTTAACCAATTCAGTAATATTAGCTGAGAATTTTATTTGCTTTGATTTCTTATCTTTGTCTAATTCTTTCTCATTATCAAATACAATATCATTATCTATTAAATAATCTATTAGTTCATCCATAGTATAAGTATTAATATCTTCATCTATAAGTCCTTTTAGTAAATTATTTTGAAGACTACTCATAGTTGGATAAATAATACTCATCATTGAGTATGAACTACCAAAGATATAATTTGTTATATTATTAAATAGTTTTAAAATATCAATAATCAAAATACTTTTTCTGACGATCATTTGTCCCAAATTTTCCGCCCAAAGAAAAATAAATATTTTGTTGGAGATAATGTTGTTTCGTACTCTGATGAGTTGGTTTTTGTAGAGGTTGAACTTGCTTAACTTCTTTACATATTCAGCATGCAAGCCAAAAGTGTTTTGGTGCAAGATAACTAGCAGATGGTGCTCTTGTATAGAAAATTTTAGTGAAGACAGTGTCCTGGAGAGGAGGGTTTCCATTAATGAAGTCTTTTAGGA